GTGTTAAGCCCTTGTAATGCAGTGCATTTTTGGTAGTTGGAAGAAAATTAGTTCCCTTGCATCTGTTTTAGTAGAGCTAGTTGAATAAAACTGTATGTCAGACTGTTGGCAGTTTAATAGTATTCCATTGGCTGGCTTTAAATTAGAAACTAGATGTTTCTTTTCAGTGCTTCAAGTTTTCTGAAGGCAGATCTCTAAAAGTCAGTCTCTATACAGAAAGCCCAGGCTCTGTTAATGCATCCTTTATGCCTGCAACAACAGTTAGACTGACGTACCCTAAGAGCTGTTCCTGTTACTTGTCTTCCTGTGAGCAGCTTTGTAACTAGCTGTTTTTGGGTATTTCTTATTATAAAGCCACTTAACTTTTCTGATTGATGTGGTAGCTATTATGGGAAGATTTTGAAAGGCAAAGAAGCGTGTTGATTTTGGAGTTTGGGTTATGACCTTTGCTATCCTTGCCTGTGAATCTACACCAATCCTATCTATGTGTATAGAGAGATGAAAAAGACTTCAGTGTTTGGAGATTCTGCTAAGTTGGCATTCCTTAATGCAAATGGTTTGCTAGATGATCCAGCTGAGTGTGTGAGAGTGGGAAGGAGAGGCAACACTGAGTTAAGAAGCAAAAAAGAGAGTCAGGTGGCAGAAACAGAGAAGGTGAAATGTTTATCTGCCAATATTAGTTTCCAGTGTACTTAATACTTCATAATGTCAGTTGCTTGGAAACCAGTGTTCTGTGCCCTTTTCCTGGTTGGCAGAAATCACTCTAATTGTCATGTTTCTAGCACTGTCACTGCTGGCACTTTGTAGCATTTTATTTCCAGAAGCAAAAATTTTCTTTTAGGTGAGTGATGGCTCACATTAATTAGACAGCAGTCACGGCCAAAGACATCCACTTATGTGTACAGATGTATGAATCATTATCCCTATCATCAATCACTGGAAAGACTGCTATTCCCATCAACAATTCTGCCCTCCCAGACTGTTCATTTGAGTCTCCATTTCCTTTCTTCTCCTGCAAAAATATATTTGTATTTGAATTTTTGTAAGTGCAAGCAGTTCGTTGCTTATTAGATTTTACTATCTAAACATGACAGCCTAATTCCATGTATCGTGGAACAAAATGACGTGTTGTCACTGAATGGTTGAACAAAGCTAACACTTAAAATGAGTTTTCCATTATTTAGTATTAAAATGTCATTGTTCTGTAAATACCTTTGCGTGCTAAGGCAAGAAGATTAATCTTCTTCCTACTCTGCCCTTGTGATGCCTCATCTAGAGTATCGCATCCGGGTCTGGTGCCCTAGCACAAAAAAGACATGGAGCTACTGGAGATCTGCTGTCTTTTTACGAAGACGGGCTGAGGGAGCTGCCTTCATACAGGGCTTGCTTTGGTTTTGTTATTTTTTGGTGCGTGGTTATTTGGAGGGTGTTTCTGTTTGCTTGTTTTGTTTAGAAACGAACCCATTTGAGTACACATGATTGTACTCATCTTCAGGAGAACAAAATGGGAATCTACATCCAAAATAATGTGGGTATTCCAGATTGCGTGTGTGACTTCAGCTCAAGGCAGATGTTGATCTGGTGCCACTTCAGTTTCTTGCCAGAACGTTCAGTGGTTGGTTCAGTATGGTAAATGATAACATATGTCAGAGTTTCTATGGTTGGTAACTGCATTTAAAGATCTTAATGTAATTATAATCTGGTATTAACTGAACTTAGAGAAAACAGAAGTGTGAATATTTACCTATTAGGCTCTTGTTGTGTGATTACTCAGCCATTAAATAGGAGTAGTAACTGTTTTGTTCCTGATTTTCCATTGCCTCATGTGTGCACTTGTATCTCTTTAGCTTGGTTATAAACACAACCTAACCCAAATTCTTAATTCATTTCATTCATTTCATTCATTTTCATTAGTATCTGCATATTAATTGTAAGTACCTGTCTTTTTCCCATGTGCTGAGCTTTCAGAACACAACCCAAATGCCGTGTGAAGCACAAGAGCAGGACTTGCTCTCTCAGGCTCACCTCTCACGGCTGCTGGTAATTTAAGGAGGGTCATGTAGCCGCTCTTTAATAACTCACTGGTTATATTTTAAGTGAACAACTCTCTAATCCTCATTTACAGCGAGACTTTCTCACCTCACAGGATCCCAAAGGTGTGAAGTGATCTTAATGTAACTAACTTATGGACATACGGGCACATATATATACGTATGTATATACATATACGTGTATGTATGTGTGTTATCACACTGAATGTAAGGGTGCTAAAGAACTGAGTGCAGTGGTCAACAGCTCCAGTATTCACTGATAAAAGAAAGGAGCAGATTCTCCATTGGTGTAAATGGATATTACCATTGACAGTCTGCAACAAACGCAGAGTTCGGTCTCCAGTTGTTCTTTTTGTCCTTCGTAAGTAAAAACAGCACTGTGTGCAAATGTATTTTCTTTTATCTCAATTTACAATTGGCTCCATGCCTGTGGAAAAAGGTTGCATTTCTGCTGTAAGTTGTCTGGAGCAGACGATGTTCTTTCATTAGCTTTATTGCTAGAAAGCCTTTTTCCATTAAGATAAGTAAACGCTATGAAACAGTGGCTAGCAATTTCCATGATCAGAGGAATTATCTGTGTGTAGTTAAATTGTTTGATGGATAGTTATTGTCCTTAAGGCTCACAACTCAGCTTTTGTTCACTGTGACCATAACGTTAGGTCTTAGAGAGAGGAAGAATTAAGCTAGCATGAGTAGACTGCAACTACTTTGCTAACGAACTTCTTAAGTTGGAAAGAAAGTTCTTTTGTCTGAAACACAGTTGAAAATCTGTGTTGTGACTAAAATTGACTGAGGCTCCATTATTTTAATAAGCACACTGAAAAGTCCATCAGTGATTTCATTTGCGTTTTAATGAATGATTCTCACCTACTTGTCAAATAGGCAACCCAGCTGCATTTGTTATGTTTTGGTATGAACAGGGTGTCCTGATACCAGAATTCAAATGTAGAAATATTTGATGTCCTATTCTAGCTACGTACTACAAATCAATAGTGCAGAAAAGTACATTGGTCACCTCATTCTGTATTGGTCCTCTATATTCTATGCTTGGATTTATTTTACAGTTTCTCTGACTGGAGTCAGTGAATGTTTGGGGTAATTCATAAATGTTCCTGAAATAATTCAGTGGAATTATGAGGAATTTTTGTCTGTTTGTCTCTTGTTAAAGCTCTTCTGTATGCCTTGCTTCTGTTTATTTCATTTCTTGCCTTGCAGACTGCAGAGCTATCTGCTGTAATACCTGAGACTTCAAGGAAGTCAGACTCAGGATGTTTGTTCACAAGTGTGTGTAGCTTTTCTTTTCCTATTGGTGTATGACAAGGATCGTTGTTTTTTGCATGCACATGTTAAATCCCTCAATATTAATTATACTCCATAATATTTTTAAAATTGTACTTTACTCTCCCAGTTGCCATGTACACATCTTTCTCTCATATGACTGTGTTTAATAAATAAAATCAATAATTTTAATTAATAATTATATATAATTAAATTATATATATTATATATATATATATTATAATAATTAAAATAATTTAATTAATAAAAAAAAATAATTGTGGCCATTAATATTAAAAGAAGCAACCGCACAACGAGCAAACAAAAAGCATCTTTCTGGTTTATAACCATCTGTTTCTATCAGTTGTCTCATTTCATGTGACAGCCTCATTGTTCACTCTTTGTATGGTCACAGTGTGCAGCTACAGCAATGGTTTTGATCCTTAAGAGGGAATGCTTATATAAACCTTTTTCATACCAGTATCTTCATGGTTGAGAGAAATGAGTGAGAACTACTGGAGAAGTGCATAAAGCAGGAGAGTGGGGTTATTTTCTACCATCCCAATAAATGCCTGTTACTCAAAATACTGGGGTTTTATGGAGGAAAAAAGCCGTGTCACACACAGCTCTGAAATCCTCATGTTTTTAAAGCACACAGTATTTCTTATTGGAGACATCTTATTTTCTCATTTCATTTTTTTCCAAAGTTAGCAGAGAAATAGCAAGCAGGTGGGCTATCATCTGCCTGAACATGGAACCTGTTCAGACTTTGTTTATGATCGGTGGACTTAAAAATAAGGCTGACAAAACCAAGTCCTCCAACCATTAAGCTGTGCAAATAGCTTTTCATCAAGGAAAGCAAGGAGAGAGCAAACCATTCCAACTGAGAACTTGTGAGCTCCGTGGCTGAAATTTGTACTCTCTGTGATCTTCAGGTGCTTTAACGTATTTCTGGTTGTTAAAGGGAGGCTGTTAACTTCAGTAAAAGAAACAAGGCCAATCTTTCAAGTCTAGATAGAGAAAGAATCAATGCAGCCTGATGACACCTAATTTGAAAGTCAGCACTGTGCTAATTTAAAGGGCTGCATCCTATGCCTGAACAGCATGCCCTTGTCTGGCTTGGATTATCTGCTACTTTACAGTTAATGGTTTAATAATTAGTTAATGCTTTAAGCCTTTCTCTGCCCTGGCTCACCTTTTCTTTTTTTACTTTTGTTTGTTTTTTTTTTTTATTATTTTTACTTCTGCTGTCATCCAACAGGTTTTGCATTTTGGTTTCCTCTCGTTTTCTGCTTTTGCAATAATTCCCTGCCTGTTACCTTTCCTGGTAGCTTCAGGGCACGGCCTGTTACAGCATGTGATGGATAGGGGGCCCAGTGGTACATTGGCTGCTATAAGTTAGAATTAGGCAGGGAGTTTTTAAATCAAGTACTGAACACCATGGCGTTGAGTTCAGTTGTTAAACTCCAACATCCAACAGCACTGAAAGAGGTGATGGAAAGATCTCCCAGTTCATACTGGGAAATTATCCTTTGTTATCATATTGCAAAAGGAAATGCTGGTGTTGAACTCTTGGTTATAGAAGAATGTGAACGCAGAGAATGCAACATTTCTTAAAATTTAAGTTGGTGTCTTCGGCACACATTAGAAAACAAGATTTTTTTTTTGCAGGCATCATATAAGTATTGTGAAGCAGGGTGGAGAATATTTTCATATCCTTCACCAAGAGTCACTGGAGCAGAAGAAAGCATTGAAAGCAGAAAAGTCTCAGGTGACAAGATGGAGAACTGACTTCCAGCCATGCAAATATTCTTCTGAGGTAGAGATGTCAGATGAAGAAATGAACACGTAAGTTGATTCAGAGGATTTCTTGTAGTCTAAAGTTAGTGGTTTTAAAATGAGACAATCTCCATTTCTGTCACTGAGGCAGAATATTACTACTAATTACTATGAACTTGAAGAGAAAATGCTTAAAAGTCTCAGTGAGCACACGTGAACTTAACAATTATGGACCAAAAAGTGCTTGTTGCACTGTTAAAAAAAAGGAGGAAGCTTGGAAGGTGGAAGGTTAGGGTGAACTGAGGGAGGTTTTGTAGGTACTTAGAAATGATTATTTGAAAGGGAGATCTGGTGAGAGTTTGCCATGTTTTTGCTGTCCATTGTAACCACAGCACTGAGAATAATGAACTGCATGCAGAATTTGTGGTGTGGCTTGCAGAATGGATTTATTGGCTAGTTCAGCCCTATTAGCACCTCCTCCTGGTTTTCTCTCTAATCATTAAATAGTCTTCCTTTTATATGCTCCCTTCTTTAACTTCCATCTTCATTCTTTCTGACAGTTCCTCTCCAATAGAAGGCAGCCACCCGAAAAAATCAGGGAAGAAGAAAAAAAAGATGACCTTACGGTCCTATGCTCCCATTTATAGCAGTGTCCTGATTCCAAGACCCTCTGAAGCACGAAGGTATATTTGAAGGCATCGTTTGCTCCCAGGTCTTGATTTAGCGTATTCTGACTTATTTGCATCAAATCTGCATACATGGTGTTTTGAGGAAAGGCTGTCAAAGTTAAATTTTGTTTTTCCTAGATTTGAAAACAAGAAAATCAGGCCTAAGAAAGAGGGAGAACACAGTGCATATACAATGCACACTATTTTGTTCTAAGTTCATTAACCTCTTGCTCACCAAAAGTGTCTTTATATCTATACTTGCATGTGGATTAAGCTGCAGTGCTAATCTTAGTATGGCTTGGGTTGGAAGGGACCCCAAAGATCATCAATTTCCAACCCCCCTGCCATAGGCAGGACCACCAGCCTCCAGATCTGGCATTAGACCAGGCTGCCCAGGGCTCCATCCAACCTGGTCTTGAAAATCTCCGTACAGGAGCATCCACAGCTTCTCTGGGCAGCTGTTCCAGCACCTCACCACTCTATCTGTGAAGAGCTTCCCCTTGATATCCATTCCAAATTTCCCCTCCTTGAAATTAAAGCCATCTCCCTTGTCCTATCACTATCTTCCCGAGTAAAAAGTTGATTCTCCCTAAGATAGTCTTAGTTCATAAAAATCGTGGTTTGGCATTTTGAATTCATACACTGCCTATTCTCAATTGCAAAGTTGTAGAACCTACCATAGAATCCAAATCACGAGTTCATAAATGTTGGAATCCTCATAGGTGTGAAAGTGCTGAGCATATCACAAAGTCATGTCCCCTGAGGAGCTTTGTGTTCAAAAATGTGTTTCAACATTAAAAAAACCTTGAAGGATGTGTAGAATTCACTGGGTCAATGGAAGCACTCTGGTGCAGAATTGATTTTTATCGACAGAACCTTCTTTTACTGTTAGATATATCTATTTCAGTCAACACAGTGGCAGCTTGACTACGTTTTCCTATCTGTAGCATGATACATTTGTCTCTTCTTTTTGCAGTGAATGTTTTTTCCGCCAGCTGTGTGCCATACATTGGCTTTTGGAAGCTCTGACTCTTGAATCCAGCAGTTCAATGCATTCTATATTATCCTGCTGGAATCTAACGTACGTATGCAATTCACAATAATCTTTGGAATGAGAGTTTGGGAATCTTATGTCATTAGTTGTTTTTTTCACTTTTTTCACTAAGTGAAGTCTTAGCAGAAAATACTGAGCTAACATAGTGAAATTGTTTTCCTTCCTTTATCCTTTTGCTAATCATTATGTGAACCAGAAACATGTAGTAATGTATGTATGCATGTTCCTGAAGCATTCCTTAGAGGGATATCCCCTAACTGAACAGGAATTCCAGACACATTTTAATTACAGAACAAAGCCAGCTATTAAGGGATATTTAGCTGTTGTTTTCATTCTATCAGTGATGCATGACAGTGGTAGGTACTTACAGAAGGTGCATTGCTCCTGAACTTTTATGCTGTTGGAAGTAAATGTTTAAGTTCTCAACATTTTTATCTATAAATACAACAATGTTGACTTAACATTTATTTGAATTATTCACAAACTTTGTACAGTTTATGCTCTGATTTGCAGGGCAAAGCTCTTCAGAGTTGTTCTGTTTTCTCTGTGTATTCTCAATGAAGACAAACTGTGCCTATACAGAACAAGAGTGGCATTATGTAGAATTAGCCTGGAGGAGAATCAGTCCATTGTGTATCATGGATGGATCTTTCACCCCTTTACATATGAGGACTGACCAATAGACAGATGCTGACAGCAGGGTGTTAATGTATAAGACTCTGGAGTCATTTCCAGATATAAAAGTAGTGCTGTTTCTTCTTCCTTCTACTTTCTATTGCAGTCTCCCACACCACTCCTCTTCCTCAAAGTCATCTGAACTGATAAGCCAACATATACTTCATTGTGCAGTAACCATGAAAAATTATGCTTTCATTCAGATCATATAGCATCTGTGTATACAAAAAAGATGTTTAAATGTAGTGAAGAGAGCAAGCTTAGAACATTAATCTGCTTTGTAAAACTTACGGCTGATTAGATGGGGATTGAATGATAAATGAGAACCTCAGCAGTGCCCTGCTAATAGAGGTCCTCACTCAGCCAACAGGATAGAAAAACCAAACTTTTGCATGAACCTGCCATCATTCTGATCCATGACGTCTTGCACAGAGAAAGTGGAGAGGATAATCTGGCTCAGTACGTCTGGTAGTTTGCAAGAATTACCGTGCTGCCTTGTGACTATGGCTCACTCATGGCCTGTACTGCTTGTGTTGTCTGTCTTGTAAGCAAACATGTCATAATCAGTCACCATTTGCCCTCTTTTCATTATGATCTTAAAAGAGGTTAATAAGAAGAACTCTTGAAATAGGAAACTAATTATGTTGTTTTTACTTAGGGACCCTGGTGGCTTTAAAAAATCAGTGAAGGAAATCGAAGAGGAAAAGTTTGCAACATACATGTGGGAGCTCTTTGTTACGAACACAAAGGTATTAATTTGTTCTTTGGGAACAAATCCAATTTTTCAAGCATTTATTCTTTTTGTTGCCTCATTGAACTCTTTGATACCTCATTTTGTATTCTGGGTGTCGTGAATTGCAGATTATGCTTCTGTGTTTCTGTAGAATAACAGTTTGATTCTCAGTAATAGGAGGAGCAGTAGGTGACTGCTCAGAAGATTGAAGCTGTGCCTTGGCCTTAGTGATAATACTGATGTAGGAAGGATTAAATGTTCTGCTAAAAGTTATATTAGACTCTGGTTTGCACTTGTTCCTGTTTTTCTTAAGAGTTGAGGACCCTAGGGATTTCAAATTGGCATCCTGGAGGGCTGGTAGGAAATAAGTAGCAAGCTGTGAATCTTCCCTAAGATAAAGATTGTGTCTTTATGCAGCTCTTCCTTTTGCTGTAAGCAAACAGTGAGGGCGAGCCAGAAGGTCACAGAACTAAGAGCTGTTTCTCAGTAGGTGCCTTTCTGATTTTTCCATATGGTCTTCCCACTTCTCTAAAGTCAGATCCCAAAGAGCACGAGCAGAGGAACACAAAGTGCACCTCAGCCTTGATGTGTCATAAAGCTTTCACATTTTTATCTTTCCTCCTCCCTGAATTAATTTCCTCTCTATCATTTATGCTAATTATTCCTTGAACACAGCTTTTCAATTTGATATGGAACTTCTGGTGGATATACTGGGTTTCTCCAGGGGTACTTGGTTTATAATACATACTGTTCTCATTATCAAGCCTGAAGAATTCAGTTTGCATTCAGTTCTATGTGCTGGACACAGGAAACTTACTTGTAAGTCATTATATGTGAGGAGGAGACCTGAACATTTATCAAACCATTTTGACTTACTCATCCATAAACATGAAAAAGTTGCTTTATTCCCAACTCTCTCCATAGCTGCAGTGTTACTTGCTTACAAATCAGCTTAACCTGTTGTCATTAATGCTACAGCAGAGGAATATGGGAGAAAGATGCCCAAAAAAGCAGGCCCTACCCATGTAATTGCTGCCTTGGTGAAGTCAGTGAAGAAAAGTGGGTGAGGTTACAGGAAGACCAGATAAACCTCCTGCTGGGATTAGTACAGAAAAAAAAAAAAAAGATTCTTCATTGTCAAAGATGCTACAGAAATCCAAAAGTAAATCTGCTGAAATTGGCTGCAGAAAATCCCTTTTTGTTCTCTCTTTCTTATATGTACAGAAATACATGCGGAAAGCGCGGCGCATCCCGTTCAGGAGGCAGACAAACAAGGCAGCTGCTCCAGCCAGCTCTCAGCTTAGCAGTCAGTCATCTCACGGTCAGACCCCTCTCAGCAGTGTAAATTCTCTTGTGCTTTGCTCTGAAGACATCAACCTGAGCGGAGCTTTGGCCAGTGCTAAGAGTGTGTCAATGCAAACTAAAGAACAACAATTTTCCCCCTGTAAGTTCCTTTTCTTGGCTGCCAATATCAAATAGGCTTACTTTCAGCATCACTAAGGAGTGCTTCAAAGACACTGCTAGACATGCCAGTGTAAAAGTGTACATCCTCTTCAGGTGTAGGAAACTTCATACATGTCTCTCTGCCCTTACCAGTCACAAATTGGTTTAAAGGTGGCATAACCCCATGTGAATATTAAGAGTTTTTGGTTATATCAGCTGTATAATCAGACTGTTGTTCACATCTGTAATTTCCAATAGGAGGTAAAAGCATTCTCTGGCATAATCAACTGATGCTCTGAACATACATCTATTTAATGGAGGGCTTTGTTATTCTGTGCTCCTCCATTAGTGACTGCCTGCACTTGATAGACATGACAGAACAGTTTGCAGTGCATTTCACTATATAGCGAGGCAATCTTTAGCCTTTTCCTTCTTCTACTTCAAGGCCAGAAAAGCAAATTAGTATTTATCATAGAATCATAGAATGGCCTGGGTTGAAAAGGACCACAATGATCATCCAGTTTCAAACTCCCTGCTATGTGCAGGGTCTCCAACCACCAGAGCCACATCCAGCCTGGCCTTGAATGCCTCCAGAGATCAGATTTGAAAATAATCCTGAGAGCTGTAACACCTGAGAGCTTGATTTGGCCATGAGATGAAGAAACATCCCATAGAGACAGGCAAGCAGAAACTGGGAGACCATTGGCCAGAGTTAACATGTTTTTACAGATTGTTTTTCATCAGCCCCACAGAAGCAGATCCAGAGAACACACGTGAAGGCATCAAAAAGTGTCCATGAACAAGCAGACACCCTTAAGAAGACTGGACTTCAGAGGTGTGTGATCCAATGGCTTTCTGAAAGACCAGGAAAAGGAGCTCACCAGGACAGAGCTGAGGGGTGTTGGGATTTTGTTGTTGTGTTGCTGGTGTTGTTTCAGAGCAGCTGAATTTGGTGTTCAATGAATTCAAATGGTACCGATATCTCTCAGCCCAGGTGGCAGAATAGAATCCATTCGGTGTGCTCCCTCATTATTCCATTTTGCGATGCTTTCTGCAGCTGTAAGACTGACACAACTGATCATTCGTATAATTGGGCTTTGCTGAAGCATTTTTTTTTCCTTGGAGTTGAGGTCAAGAGGAATATGATGAAAATATGAATATAAAAATATGAATAATGTGAAAAAAAATGATAAACTTTGTTCCTGGATAACTCCAGCAAGTCTGCCACACTAAGAGTGTTTTTGCAGTCTTCATAGGGTGTCTCACAGACTGGAAAAGGCACACTGTACTCGATTTTAAACCTCGTCTTGTCTTACAATTTACTGTCAGTGAAGGACTACAGAGTATGCATGATATTCATTAAGGACAAAAAAAAAAAATAACATTCACAGAATCATAGAATGGCTTGGGTTGGATGGGACCTCAAGGATCACCAAGCTCCAACCCCCTGCCACAGGCAGGGCCACCAACCTCCACATTTAATACCAGCCCAGGCTGCCCAGGGCCCCATCCAACCTGGCCTTGAACACCTCCAGGGATGGATGGAGCATCCACAGCCTCTCTGGGCAGCTGTTCCAGTACCTCACTGTTCTCTTGGTAAAGAAATTCCCCCTGACACCCAAGCTAAATCTTCTCTCCTTCAACTTAAAACCATTTCCTTTGTCCTGCCATTATCTACCTTGTAAAGAGTTGACTCCCCTCCTGTTTGTAGGCTCCCTTTAGGTGCTGGAAGGCTGCACTGCAGGTCACCCCATAGCCTTCTCTTCTCCAGGCTAAACAAGCCTGGATTGGATTTTAATGTGAATAAAAGATCTCTGACTTCAGGTGCGTTCACACTGCTGTGAGGTGGTTACCACAAGATGCTGATTCCACTTCTCTTGTTTTATTTCCAGCTGCCATATCAGCCACTTCATTAAAAGCAAATCTAACCTGTGTGCTGTTGCAAGACACCAGTTCATGGCAATACGTGAAGAAGCAGCTCATTGTTTGCATGATGCTCTGGAGAGCCTTGAGAGGTAAGAAGAGACTGTTTGCTGTGTACTTCTAAAATATGCCCTCCTTGCTCTTGACCTTTTATCTTCAGATGTTTTAAAGATGCATCTACTGATTTATATGGGGCAACAATAAAATAAGGGGTAGGGAATGGTCTGGAAAAGTTTGACTGTTCAGGTATGAAATTATACTCCAGTGTTTGGGGATGGTTCTGAGTGACTTTTGTGGGACGCAGCTGTGATAAATACGTGGGATGTATTTGCTTTGATCATAGTCCTTTTCACTCAAAGAAAGAGTAATAAATTCAGTTCACACACGGTCTGCATGGCTGTCTTCTCATTTCATGTCAGAGATGGCCGTGTTGTTCTTCAACGTTACATGGACTGTTTTCACAGTGTAACACTTGCAGTGTCCTCTTTCAAGGCCCCTTCCCTGAGCAGCAGCATTACTACTTTGTTAACCAGCCAAATCCTGCTACCCTTTCCTTTCACTGATGATTGTTTCCAGGTAACATTCATGCAAATTCTTTTTTTCTCAGTAAACATCACCTGAAATCCTTCCCTACACAGCTGTTTTCTTTCTTCCTTTCTTTCCCTCCTTATTTCCATTCCTTCATTCCATTTTGTAGTTAGATTTTGTCTCTTTTTTTCTGCAGTGCTTTCCTTATTTTTAGAAGAAATACAGGTACATTCAGAATGCTGCACAAGCAAACACTGTTATGAGCATCCGCAGACTGAACGTGCAATGTGTTCTTCTGATGTGTTGTTTTCTGCCTTCCTTGATATCTTCCCACTTACCTATGAAAAAGAATGGTAATATTTAAAGTACAGATTCATTTTTAAGGGTTTTTTTGTTGTTGTTGTTAGGAGCCAGGAAGAGCGATGCTGTAAAAAATACCTGGCTTTGAAACGACTGAAGTACTTTAAAAAGGACATGGAAAGAATAAGACAGCTGGACGTGAGAGCTGAAAGGGAACGTGATGAAAATGGGCTTAAATGGTAAGGAGCCATTGAGATCCTCATTTCAGATGAGACTATCATGGTTTTAGAGTTGTCTTTTGTACAAAAAGCTGTAATTCTATTCCTTTTCTACTCAAAGTATCACTAGAAAGCGTTGAAATTGGTTGCTGAAAATGCAGCCTTCACAAACTGGTGGCAAAAAAAACCCCAGATATTCCTAGGAGCAGCCTCCTGCTCAGGAGACAAGAGTATTGGGTATGGTAAGAAAAGGGATGGGAAGATTTCCTTCTGGAGATCCTGGGGACAACAAGTGCTCTGTCTGTGCATTCATAGATGCTCTCCAGCATGGAGCTCTCTAAGAAACTTCGTCCTTCAGGGAGTATGTAAAATACACTGTACCCTGAAGAGGAGAGATGCTTTATCAATGTACGTGGGTTAAAGTCACAGCAACCTCTGGATGAACTGGGAATTCACAGTGCTAAAACTGGTGGTGAAGAAACTCTGATTCTAGCTGTCCATCCATGTAAAAAAAATATATATTTCCCTGCCAGTGTGGATATTGACTGTGTCCAGTGATCAGCTTCCAGATCCACACTATAAACAGCCTACAGCAATGCCTCAGAAAATCTCAGCATGTTCCCTGCCATGAGAACCCCCTCAGCCATGGAAATACAGGGAAAAAAAGCTGTGTGGAACATTTATTTCAGCCTGCCCTCTTTGGTCTCCTTGCTAGTAAGCCTTCTGTCCCTCATACATTGAAGTCAGTTTCTTATCTTAGGTCCAACTTGCAGGTGGCCCAGGAACCCATCAGTCATGAGTTAATTAATAAACTTAGCCTTGGCCTATATAGCAAAACTAATTTTAGTTGCCTAGCGTATGCTCCAGCTGTTACCCACATTGAAGTTCTGCCATGTAAATAAGCCCCAGAGCTGAAGTGGGTGAGTTTTTACTGTTATACACTCGCACTCAACATCTCCATAGGGACGCAAAGAATGAAATCTCTGAGATGTTTGGTCCAGCCCCAGGGGGGCACAAAGTCATGACAGAGCAATTGCCTTCACTGTGGCACTTACTCCATTTACAACAGGGCTGTTTTGTTTCCATACTCTCGCAAACACTGCCTTGCCAGGAAAGCTGAATTGCAGTGGGAACACTTTAATGGTATCTGCTGTCAGTCTAGTTGCTTTTTTCTCTCTCAAAAGTGAAATAAAAGCCAACCAAAAACTGAGATAATATAAAATATGAACAGTGGGATGTGAATGTGCTGACCTTCCTCAAAGAATATCTTGATGCATGGATGGGGTATGCAAAACCTGTTTGTGAGACAGTGATGGGAACTGGGCTAACCTAGCCAGGGAGAGTAATGAGTTGCTTCAACAGCCATACCAGTAGTATGCAACCAAGCATAGAAGTGTCTCTACTGAAGAGGAGAACCTGTGTGCTTCCCTTTTCACTGGTTTAAGGAAGAAATTCCTCACCCATCTCCTGCTGTTCCAGTAAAACATATCCTAAACTATGGGAAGGCAGAACTCCCTGCTGCCAAGCTGATATGCCTCAGCCATGCATGTTCTTGATAGGCTTGGAGCATCAATCTCTAGCACTGTCAAGGCAGCACTGTAGAATTTATACAGAACATTAGGGGGAAAAATGTCAGTCTTTTCACAAGGGTTTTCTTTTTATTGTAATGTGTAATTCTCCTTCTGAGTCTCTATATTCAGAATTAAATGATAAAGGCTGTGTGTTACAGCACTGTCACGTTGCTGAGATTTATGCCAGTGCATAGAGGAGAATGGTGTTAACAGAGAGAAAAGGGATAGGAAAGAGCATCAGGAAGTGTGTCAAATCAGACACTTGATTGCACTGGAAAATCCACAGAGGCTAAAGATTAAGAGGACATTTCTTGTAAAATGAAAACTTTGTTAGCTTTTTGTTATTTGCTTTCATAACCACGTTTGTCATTCAGAATTAAAACGAACAGCAAAGCATCTTTTTTAGTCTCTGTAAAGGCAGCCGATGCACAACTCCTGTAAAATAAAGCTCCTTTGCATTACTCACTGGGTATTACACTGAGCATTACATTCTCCAAAGAACCTTTCTTTTTTTCCCCCCTGTGGAAGCCACAGAAGTCGTGAAGTGGCAGAAATTCCACCCAGACCTAGAGTTGCCCATCAGATTTTTCCATTAGTTCCTAGAGATTCCCTTTCATTGCTGTTCCTCTTTCTGCTAAAGGTTTCCTGCATTGCTGGCCAGGCTGCCGGAGCCTGTGAAGAATGACCATTATGTCAAGAAAATCTTAAGGAAACTGGAAAAATTCGGCCTGGCTCCTGATTTACACATTGATCAGGACACCTTCCTGAAGGCTGTGGCTGATCTCCAGCTGTGGGAGCTGTGCTCTCCTGACATCGCTGCTGCTGTGGAGGTGAGATGGGTCCAGCTCTGGATTCTCTGTGTGATAAGGGTGGGGAAAGTGGACACCCATAGGTGAAGTGCAGTGGAGAGGTACCAGATGAAATCATTTAGGACGTCATGAAGTGAAGATGGTGCTACTCACCTTCTACAAGGCACACTGAACCCGTCAGAGGAAAGCTGTTATGACAAGGGCTGGATTATTAATCAGTATCATTTGATCATTATGTCATTGTTGATTTATTTACTGCCACAGTGGAAGCGATGTCTGCCATAAATTGTTAGGATTCTCGAGGGGAAACGTTCCCTTTCTGTGCCCTGAGGAAGCCTGTCATTCCCAGGCCTTACAGCTAGGAGCTATTCGTGTTAATGACCGTGCCACCAACCCAGGAATTCTGCAGATGCCTTTGTTTTGCTTCAGCAACACGTAAAAAACAATATGCTTCTCAAGGTTGTGAGCTGTGCCCCATTCATGTTGTTCTAGTATCAGTTTACAGAAGAGTAAAGACAGAAGGAAGAAACCCAAATACTTTATAACGTGTGCTGCTGGGTAGTCTAACCAAGATAAAAAGGGCAATGATGCCACCTTCTGTTCTTTGTTCTCATCACCATTCTTCCTCCTAATCTGCGAGACAGCAGCAATCCCATCGAGGCAGCATGTTACAGCACCTGTGCATCTTTCATATGTTGAGTTTATGACACGTTACGGGGGCAAGGCACCCGGTGTGCCCCAATCCAGACCACTTGCATTTTCTACTACACAAATTGCTCTAATTTGTGTAGTCACTAACTAGAGAGGCAGCCTTGCCTCAATATTTGTTTCTGTTGCTTGCTGGTGCAGTAGTAATACAGAAAAAAAAGATGTAAGCATTGCAGAATCTTCTATTTACACATCTTTTAAAGATACCCAGAGAGGAAAGAAGACTTTGGTATTCCTTGGGCTGGAATAGATGAACAGAACTATAATGTCTTAGTGGCAAGGAGAGAGTCACTGAATGTAAACACATAAACTGGTGGATACCTGCACGGATTCAAGGTGAAGTTATTGAACTTCAAGTGCTTTAATGTATGTGGTGCAGTCGTAGGTAGAAGACAGCTGTATGTCTGTAAACTCAAAGACCTGACTTTGAAGGACTGAGGATATAAATTGCAAGGAAGATCATGGAGTTTTGCTTTTAATTCATTTTAAAGCAAATCCAGCAGTTCTGAAAACTGCATTAAAACGTTTTGGTGATATGAAGCACTGTATTGATTTTATGCAGAAGTCAATACGTTTGTTCAAATTGATCAAATTGAGAGACATATTATGTCTCTCTCTTACACATAGAATTAAATGCTCAGGAAATGACCTTTTTCTCTTTCAGTTTGTACGTGAAAGTATTGTACAGATGCCCGAAGAGGATTTCATTGAGTGGTTCCAGGCAAGAGTAGACCCTCTCCATGCACAATCCTCTGCCTTTTAATCAGGTGGACAGCCGAGATGGTTTTCCATGCAGTTACAATTGTCATGCTTCAAGCAGAAAACTCCCTCCCGTTGAGATTTGCATCATGGAAGACTGGGGAAGGAGAATAACCTTCAGGAAGTCCCATTGACCACCCTTGCACATCTGAAATTTGCCCCTGCACAGTGCTCTGCTGGCTGTGGTCAGCCACAGAGAATAAAAGCTAAATGACTTCTTCCTGTGTGATGTCTTGGACTCGCCATCAAACTTCAGTCTCTCCTAACCATTTAGAATCATGGAATCATCAAGGTTGGAAAAGATCTCCAAGATCATCCAGTCCAACCGTCCCCCACCTCCCTGGGCTGCCCATTCCAGCACCTGACCACTCTTCTGGAGAAGAAGTATTTCCTAACGTCCAACCTAAACCTCCCTTGATGCAACTTAAGGCCATTCCCTTTAGTTATATGGGAGTTACATTTAGGATGAAGGCTTGGTTCCTACTCACAAAGCAGGTGACTTCTTCAAACATTTCTCCACCAGTGCCTACATTACAGCAAGCATCTTCTCAATGCAGCTACGTGTATCACCATATCTAAATATTATTGACTCTCTTCACTTTACCTCCCATTTACAAAATAAAATAAATAACCCAAATGCAGGTTTGGGTTTTAAGTTTTAATACAGTTCTTTTTTGCTCTAATTCTTTTCAGTAGTTTGGATGTTTTGTTTTCAGTCAACTTTGTAGTTATTCTGTGATTATGGCTTAACTTCCTGCCTTATTAATATCAATATTGAAAAGCCAAGAATCCTTAGACACATTTCTGAGGTTTTCACTTGAAGATACACTTTCCACTAATTACTTTTGCATATATTCTCCATTACTCTCCTGGATGAGACATTAGAATGACAGCCCTGAAGTCAGGGATGGTGGTATTCCATGAGCTTTGTGAATCTGTTCGATGGTCTCTTTGATGGTGGGTCACAATTGCTAGATAATGGGATCAGTGATCCAATGACCTTCTAAGCTGATGAGCTTAACAAGCTGCTTACCTGCCTGTCAGAGCTTCCAGAGAACCCACTGGGCAGAAAGGCAGTCCCTTCTGCCACAATAAGAGAGAACAACACCAGTTAAGGATGCAGGTGAGTAGTTTGACCATTGATGTGTAATATCTTACCGATTAATGACCTTCTTTTGCTCGCTCCCTCATTCTCCTAACAGAAGATAAATGTGTTTGTTTGTTTTCTTTCAAGGAAAAGAGTGAAATCCACGAATTGCTATGGCTTACAGCTACTAGGAAAAAAAAGAGACCTAAATTATGTTTTTTGTGCTCCCACTATTCTCATTCTATATGCAGTGGTGGTAACATAGGATTTTTACATCTAATGAAGCCACGTTCTTCCACGTCCATGTTTTTCTTTCCCTCCATTTAAGAATCCAATGCCAAACCTATCTCAAAACTCTGTTGGAGCTGATCCAGTGCCCAGTGAAATGGATGGCCATGCTTCTATCAGATGATAACAAGGATCAGACCTCAATTCCAAATGCTTGCTCTAAGAAGCTTCATTGCAACCCTCCTTGCGCTTCAAGAATCTCTGTTCTCTTACCTCTACCATCTATTTTGGACTTTTTCATCATACCTGAGCCAAGTTTCATTGTCTGTACTGCCGTGTCACCCTGTGGTGGCAGCTGATATTGCAAGCAAACAGAAAGAAACCTTCATTTAACAGTTGGGTTCTCCTGGTTGAGCTGCGGGTGCACAAAGTGAAACCTTCACCTTGGCCCTTCCTCACCAAAGGGAAGATGCAGACAAGAAAGTTTTCTTCACATATAAGAAACGGTAATGCTTCAGCTGGAGTACATCAGTAATGCTGCTGGAAACAGGTAATGATGGGGACTGCTTCTTTAGAAAGAAATTAGATCATCTGTTCTTCTTCTCTGCTATGAGCTTGGGTGGTGGTGGGCTTGCAGATCTTAGAGGTTTTTTCCAACCTTAATGATTCTATGAAATCCCTACACAAGCTGTAGCCTTGCTGTAGCTCACCCAAGGGGGATGATTTGGAGTTATGGCATGTCCTTTTTTGGATGTTATCTGCTTGCTTTCCCCGTTCATTGCATGGAAGGACTAGGTAGCCTTTAAGGGTCCCTTCCAACTGAAACAATTCTGTGATCTGCAGGAAAGAAGATTTGGGCTTTTTAAACTTTTTGATGTTTTTTTCCCCACAGTTATCTTGGATTCCCCCCAGATACTTTGGTGAATGTCTCACAATCTTCAACTTAATCTTTCAGCACAGCTTTTCCAGGTAGGTTCGAAGTGACCCATTTAACACACTGGTGGTGGACACACCAGGAGTCCAAGCAATCTGACAAAGGGCCAAGAGTGTGTGGTAGAGCTGCTGGATCAGTTCTGTCTGCTCACCATTACAGAATCACAGAATGGCCAGGGTTGGAAGGGACCTCAAGGATCATGAATCTCCAACCCCTCTGCCACATGCAGGGCCACCAACCTCCATGTTTAATGCTAAACCAGGCTGCCCAGGGCCCCATCCAACCTGGCCTTGAACACCTCCAAGGACGGGGCATCCACAGCCTCTCTGGGCAGCCTGTTAACTCCCCATTCTGCTCTGGTCCTTTACAGTTTCAGCTAATAGGCCGGTCATCCACAAACTCCACTAGCCCAGATGAACCATCCAAGCTTAGGTTGGTCACTCATGCTCCAAAGATGCACTTTGCAGGGACAGAATTAGAGTTTGAAGTAGGGAAAGGATGAGAAAGAAAGCCTTTCTTCTTTGTTGGCACTTCTTTCCTTTTTTTATTTTTCCTGGCCAAGGTGTTGTTTGTTCTCTGTATTCTTTATATCACTGTTTATTAAGTTGGCTATGCTTTAGTACATGTTATTGTAGATTACACCTGGCTATATATGATGGATGTAGGCATTGTAATATAAATTGTAGTGGATTTTTAAAAGAACCCATCACAGCTGACAAATACAACATTCAGTTCATTTCCAGTCCTAGATTACTGTAACAGTCATCAAAATATTCTCTTGCATAGATAATTTATTTGAATGTTTTTGCAGGGTATCCTAACAAAGGCTTACCTTTAAGAGGCTGTTTCCTGCCTATGGCTCTCCAAACTCTCTTTATAAAGTAGGGCAGGTTGCAACAAATTATGTGTGATCTATATGAAAACTGCACACAAGAAGTGTGGAGGGAAGATTGCAACACCCAACCGTTCCCATTTGTTGTAGGAAAAGAGGAACAACAGTGACCCATATAATCCAAGTGGGTGAGATTGATATGAGAAAAAGCAACCTTTTGCTTTTGGGGAAGGGAAGGGGAGAGGAGAGGAGAGGAGAGGAGAGGAGAGGAGAGGAGAGGAGAGGAGAAGGAATTAATTACAGTATTTGGGAATCTTTAATGAAAGGAGAGAATGTGTGTATGTGTGTGTGGAGAGATGGTCCTATGGGGATGCTACACAATGGAAAAGCGCTAAGCATATTAATAATTTATAAAACAATTAGTATGCAGCTTATCCCACAAATTCATATCAGAATCCAGATCCAAACTGTCCCTAATGGGTGCATTTAGCCTTTTTGTTCAAACCCTGCTCTATTTGTCAATGACGCTACTGGCCTCAGAACAACTCTTCCAGCCAAGTCTTGCTCTAGTTTGTTCCTGTGTGAAGCCAGAGCTGATTCACAGAAGTCTGTGAAGGAGTTCCAGATTCACTCTGTGGTGAATGAGAACTGATTAAATTCATTGCAAAATGCCTTATTTAGCAGGTTGAGATGAAGCAGCATTAAATAATGCTACAACGCTTTCATAAACATCAGAACGTATGAAAATTATTCAAAACATCATTTTCCTCTTATTTGCTAGTAAGAATTAGACAGCAAATCACCACTGCAATTTCTTTGGTAATACAAATACCAGAGTTGGAGCTTTGCTTGAGTTCTGCTAAGAACACTTATGAGTTTAGTGATGGATTCAAAACGTGCTTTACAGGTGACCTATAAAATTCCTGTCTGTGGTTCATCTCCCCTGTATTTAATCCTAAAACATACAAACTCTCTGTTGGGCTGTTAGAAATCCATCTGGTGGATTCTAAAAGAGGTCAAACGTTGGTGAGCTTTGCTGCTCTGCTCGGGATGTTGAAGGTGATGTAAGAGAGATCCTGTTAATTCCGTGCCTCGAGGGCGCTGCTCCAACAGATTGCCTTGTCAATCACAAGCAGAAAAACTTCCAACAACACGAACTGTTTCTAGGAAAATGGGACCATGGGATAAAATAAGGGCTCCTCGCAGCGCAAAGCAGGTCAGCCACAGCACTGAGCAGACGCCCATCGCTGTCTGAGCTGTGGGAACAGATCCTTTGATGCTGATGTGTGACTAAATGAGGCAGGTCAGAAGCCAGGAGATGGGGTGGAAAGAAATAGGTTGTGACAGATACACAGAGACGTCTTCACATGTGTTTAAGCACAAGCGGGTTTGATCACTCAATTGTTGGCTTCAAATTATGATAGTACTTCAGAAATGTAACAGTGAATGGAAAAAGTCTCTGATTTTTTAATCTGGACGTTTCCCTGATCACACATTAATTTACTGTTAATAATTTACCAAAGCAACAGCTCATCAGGGACTTTTGATGTTTGCAAAGCCACAGTCCAGAGTGAAAAAATAAGAGCTGCAAGGATGAAATAAGAAAGTTATGTTTAAGAAGAGCATTTCTCTCCTGACACCTCTTAGAATACGGGCACAAACCAGTCCCAGGGGTGGAGTAATGCATCAGCCCCACGGGCACTGCTGACTCAGTTGTACCCACAAAAATACAACAGCAGAAGGAATTCTCATCACTGTAATGACAGCGATGTGAACAGTCTGAGGGACAGGTCTGAATTAATTTTGAAGTGCAGAGTAATATCTATATATGTGCAAGCTGGCCAAAAGGGAAGCCAATGGGATTCTGGCCTTTGATTCCTGAATGTTCTCATTTACTTATGGCAAAAGCTAGATCCAACACCTTGTGCCATGTACAGGTATTGACACTCTCTCATGGAAAAGAGGTCATTTTCAAATGAGTCTTCTTTGTAAGCTCACCCACTACTGTGGTGATGAGAAATTGCCACCAAAATTATTCTTGTAGCATTTGGCTGCAGGATTCAGTTAAATAACATAGCAGCTCCCTGTCTGAGGAAAAGTATAACTGTTTGAATATTTAATATGCATGAAAACCAATTAACTGTGCCTATCTGATTCAACCTCATAAATTAATAACACCCCTGCTAGACTCCCAGCAAATCAATTGGAATTCAAGGGCCCTTTAAAGGTTAGTTTCAGATTCCGAGGTAAAGGAATATTAGTTTGTCATTAACTCACTCTGCCTGCCTGAATGGTTTGAGCATTCTGTGATTTGTCCATAGAGAAACTTATTCCAGAGCCAGGAATGTCTTTGTGGCTTATTGCAACAATTTCCTTTGCATAAGGTCAGCAGAGAGTTTGATCCCAGTGTTTATTTTGAATGGAACCACAGGTACCAGTAAAGGGCATGAAGCAGCCTCCCAAATCTCTCCCTCCTTGTTTCTATTCATGTTTTAGTCAGTTTTGTGCATTCAGCATGTCTGTGCAAACCATTCTGTCTGCAAGCTCTGCTATACAAACATTACCTGAGCTGTTCCCATGAGGACATTGGGGTGCTTGGCCATCAAGTCCCAAGGCCAGTAGTCAAAACCCAGCCAGCCAGCTGCCCCAGACCCGCTCCCCACTGAGCTCCTTGACTCATCCTTCCTCCCACTCCCTTCCTCCCCTCCCATCTCTCCCAGTTTCCCAAATCCCGTTGCTTTTCTTTCCCATCTCCCACACTGTGCTCACCCTTGGGACATGAGTGACGTGGTTTAGTGGCATGCTGGTGATGAGCTGATGGTTGGGCTGGATGGTCTTAGTGGTATTTCCCAACCTTTATGAATCTATGATCCTATGATTACCACTGGAGAAGCACCTGGATGATACCAAAACACCTAAAACCAAAAGCTTAATGGCCACCTCTGGGGCCTATTAACCTTCATGGCACAGCTGCGCTGGGGTCAACGCAGTGCATTACAAAACTTCATTTCTTTTTGAGACCATAATCATCCTGTACTCCTCAGTACTGCTTGGTCTATGAGTTTGTGAAGTCCTATGTGGTCCAACAGTCATGAGAATGAACAGCAAGTGAGAAGGGATGTTCCCACCTACCTGTCAGGGGAACAGTCATTATGCACAGCATTTTACAAATGAAAGCTAGAGTGACCAGATACAAAACTCGTATTCCTCAAAAAGAAAAGAAAAAAAAAAAAACAAGCAAGAGAAGGGAGAAGGGGGATTGGTTTTCCCTGTAGAAGGTTACTACTGCATGTGTTATTATTAAAAGGAGCTTTTTGGGCTATGGGAGGCTTCAGTCCACTTCTATGTGCCCCATCTCTTCCTGTTGAGAGAAGGGGAAGCATTCGTCCACATGGCAGAAGTACCAACCCTGCTGTGTATGAAAAGCTTCAATCCCTGCAGGTTTGCTTGTTCCTCTTGTAAAGCAAGGATGTTTTTCATTATCATGAAATCATATGAAGAATTTTAAACTGCTGAGTAGTGGATAAAGCATGAGAATTTTAGACGTTGAAAATGAGCTACATAGTTTCCAGTCTCCTGGGTTTATAGTTTTATTCTACCCTTGGGAAGAATAACATGGCTAAACGTTGGAAGATGCTTAGAACTTTTTCTTCAGAGAAGTAGAACTCAGCATGGAGCCCTGTGTGGCCATTGACTCTTGCTGTGACCTCCTATCCCCAAACCATCTTCTGAGTGGAGAAAAGTGGAGGAAGGCTTCTGGGAACATCTTGTCTGCTCTTCTCAGAATGGCTTGAGCCCACAGTCTAGCCAGAGAATACTTTCTTAGGGAAAAAATAGGAAGTGTTGTTCACAGCACTCCTTTGTTCATTCTTACAGTCTTTCTTTCTGCCTGGCTGTCCAGAAAAGTTAAAAAGAGAGGCAATGATGGGCAGCCATGTGATCATATTGAGAAATATCAAACTGCTGAAGGCAAGGTTGGATGGGGGCCCTGGGCAAACTGGTCCAGTGCCAGATCTGGAGGTTGGTGGCCCTGCCTGTGGCAGGGGCTTGGAGCTTGATGATCCTTGAGGTCCCTTCCAACTCAAGCCATTCTACGATTCTGTGTTTGCTTAGAAGGACACTACTTGCAGTACTGTTGGGTTATTGTTTCTCTGCTCCCCCTTAAAAACGTTCAGTCTCTTTTTGTTCAGAGCAGTCAGAAAAGAGCAATGTACTCATCTTTGCCGTAGTGAGCACAGAAGCCATGACCTGAAGTGAGGCTGTTGGACCTCACCAGCTCTGCTGCCATACGGATCGACTGTGCTCATCTTCCCTTTGAGGTAGGAATCTTCCCCAGGCTCTTGGAGATTAACCATCGTCTCACTGCAGTACATGAAGCCATACTATTGTCTGACCATCCTTTTTTTTTCCTTTACCCACAAGTCAGTGCCATTTAAAATGTAAGCAGTATTGTCCCAACACAATATATTTCTTGCATTTCAACCCATCTTCTCAAACCACTAAATTCAGCTGCAATGACTGCCTTATGGCAGAGCCTCCATCTCACAAACCTCTTACTGATCTGTCATTATCACAAATTGCCCTGAATGTCTGACATCTCCCGTAGCTCCACGTGTCTTGCAGAAGGTGAGTCCATGTTTCCCATCCCTACTGAAATCAATTCTAAAAGCAACTGTGCAGTGATACAAACTGCATCTCCTGAGCTTGTCTGGTGTGTGTTTAAAGTCCCCTGAGAACATATCAGAGGTTTTACAGCTCCAAAAAGCCCATGCCCGAGCACTAATGGGTGAATTGGCAAGCAGATGTAACCTTGGCATTTCTTACTGCTTCCTAAAGACATAAAATCCTTTCTTTCATCATGTTTATAGATCAGTAGGTTCTCATTCTGTCTTATATTCCAGGAATGCAGCCTGAGAGATGATCAGTGCCTATGGAAGTAAAAAATATTGCTCTTACACAGGTCTTTATTGTGTTGACAGCATCATGTCTTGTAGGATGACATCTGCAAACAGGAAGCAATGGCTCCATTTGAGACAACTGCAGAACTCCCAGTGCTAAAGGTGGCTCATTCATAAAGCCCTGTGCACATCTCCTGTTTGCTGTAACTTCAATGAATGAAGTGCTCTCAGGAAAAGCCAGACACAGACACCGTTCAGCCTCAAAGGTCCCTCCATTTTGCTCCATTATTGTTATAAAGTGGGTGTTATAAAGCTTGTTTTCTTACGGTATATGGCACGGTTGGAGCCCGTTCCTTTCTGAACGCAGGCTGTCATGCTTCTCCTCACTAACTTCAAAACCGTCACGGAAGAAGAACTTTATTTGCTTAATTTGTGTTTGGTTTTGTTGTTTGTATGTTTTTATTGGTTATTATTGGTTTTTTTTCTCCCATATCCTGGGTTTTGGAACTAAACACGTTGGTTTTCTTGCTCTCCCCCAAAGAGAATTCCATCATACAGATGTAATGCTCAGTAAGGACTGCATCTCTTGCTAAAAATTGGCCAAAATAGTCCGGGCCCGAGCCTCCAAACTCTTTAAGTAGATGATTTTCAGCCAATCTTTAATATTTTCGCTAAGTCTAGCATGTCACTTGGGGTCAGTTGGCAACCTCAGCCCAGACCAAAGGAAATGCCTTTGCAGCTTTGATGCCATTGGCTGCCGGAGCTCACTGAATACAAGGGTGTATCCAGGGGGGTGATGCAGGCGCAGTTAAAAGGCACTTAAGCAAAGGCCAGGAAAAGCCCGGGCTGCAGCGCGCGGCTTTTCGTTTCATCCTCTTTTTTTTTCCCCCCCATTCCTTGGACGCGTTGCAGCGCGTCGCAGTAGAGGAGCCACCCGCGAGCAGCGCCCCCTAGTGGCCGATCCGGGAAGCGCCGCTCAGCGCCGCTCCGGGCGGCTCCCTTGGCTGGGTGCCGCCGTGGGGTCACGCCTGCCCGGTACGCGGCGCTGGGCTTTCCGAGCCGCCCGCCTGCCGTGCCGCAGCCTCATGTCCTCGCTCCCCGCCGGCACCGACATCAAGAGGGCTTTGGACAACAGCCCCGAGACAAACATCGAAGATGAACTCCCCGACGGTCCGCCGCAACCGCGGCCGAAGAACTACCTGCTCCTCAGCATCCTCGCTTGTTTCTGCCCCGCGTATCCCATCAACATCGTAGCCTTCGTCTTCGCCGTCATGGTGAGTCGCACCGCGGAGGGCGAGGGCGGCTCTGAGTGCGCGACCCCCGCCTTGGGGCTGCGGGTGCGAGTAGGGCGATCCGCGGCTCTTGGCTCCCGCCCGTTCCCATCTGCTGGAAGGAGGCAGAGTGGGAGCGGAGGAGCCGGCATCGGAGTCAGTGGGGCAGAGAGCATCAGCCAGGGGGTCCGTAGCACTGTCCTAACAGGTAACCGCCTCAGAAAGCTTTATCAGATGACAAACGCGGAGGGAAAGGCAATTCGAGGCGAGTTTTCAGTTTCAGGCTGCGTGAAGGAGGGAAGTTTATCCCAGTTAATGAGATCTGTTGCATCGACTGACTCGCATGCTGAATTGGACTTACAGACTGGGAAATTGGACTTACAGACTGGGAAAGCAGCAGCCAGGGAGCAGAAATCAAATGTGCACATCAGTTAGGAGCTGTTTGCTTCAGCTGATCGAGTCTGATAGTGTCACTTTTTTGGCAGTGAACAGCCTCTTCTGCACGGTGCTGAATTTGTCTGCAGGAAAAGCAGATGAAACAGGCGTGAGTTGAGATTGTTGGCAAAAAAGCTTTATGTTCTTTGGGAACGCTCAGAGAACGGGCTTACTCCTCCATGTCGTAACCCATTTGCATAGCTTTTAATAATGCAGCGATCCCGTTAAAACAGGAAGGGCTGATAGAATCCTCTTCTCCAGGCTGAAAGTTGCAGAGTCAGGTCCAGAGTTTTCTGATAGGACGTACGATCAGGGTAATGCTACGCATGCTGCAATGTATTTCTGTTGTTTAGGAGGTGGGAAGGTTTTAAAACATGTTGTGTATTTTCCTCCTTTTCTCTGACAGCCAGGTTGAAAAGGCAAGCGAAAATATTGCTGTGTCTTTTTGCAGTTAGCTGTTAGAATACTTGCCCATCTCCAAAGCATACTAAAACAAACTCTGCTAACACTACTAAGATTGATCACAATCATACCCTGATGTTGGAATATACACTGAAGTAACTTAAAGCAGCCATTCCAAGCCATCTTCATAACCATTTTTGTTCAGAAAAGAAAAGTATTAGCTGTCTTTTTAAATTTTTTCTCTATTACTAATTACACACCACACTCTTTTCTTTGATTTGAGGAGAAATGCACCAGGTTTGGTACCCAGCACCTCTTCAGTTAGTGGGCATTGCAGGTGCTGTTTAAAGCAGTGAGAGGTGATGATGTGGGGCTGTGGGATCTGTTCGCTGTGACAGTGCTTTCACTTTGGGGCTGTGCAGAAGTTAAATGCTGAGGGCAGAGTTTGGCCCCTAAGGACTTTTGCAGCCCATATGGAGGAACGTCTGCCCACGCCCCAGCTGAAGTTCCCGCAGGCTTTGGGAGTCAGGCTGAAGTGACTGTGTGGGATGTATAGAAACCGAGGTGGGAAGAGCACTTCCTGAGTGTGAAACAATCTGTGCAGGTCACAGCTGTGCGACTCCTTTAAAGGAGGGGAACCTAAAACTCAACTGATAAGTTCCACTGCGTGCGGATGCCTTCTGTTTCAACATGATTCTTTTCCATCTTCTCCATGAAAATAACACGTCTGGCTTGTTTTCCACAGCCCCATTGCCTTCCTTTTGGGGCTGCTACCTGTATCTGCTCCATTCACCTCTGCTCCAGGTTCTGCTTTTAATCACTGCTCTGCTGGGACCTGCATCCCCCTCTCTCTGAGCACATTTCCTTGAGCTGCTAAGTGTTGATGCTGAGAGCATCAAGAGCAGGTTTCTTCTTTTCTTACTATAATCTGTATAGTTTGCCTGAGATCTTGTGTCAGAAGAGGTCTGGACCCACAAAAGCAGAATTCTCTGTACCAATTTCCACTGCCTAAGATGAACCCAAGGGATGGAAAAGTCCCTTTGGCATGCAGAAGGGCATGCCCCTTTCAGCACCCTGTTTGTATGTGTCTGTCCTCCTTAAGCGTTCTCAATTCAGACAATGAAAATAGCATTCGTGCTAAAAGTAGAGTCTGGGCTCCAACACACCCCCGAATTAAATGACAGATTCGTCTTCGGTCTCTTCTGTTGCCCCACTTACAGCACTGCTTTTCTCACTCTTTTCTCACCCTTAGGGGTAGAAATCTTCCCATTCCCGGTCTTGGGTGACTTGATTTTTGGACCTTTCCCAGGTCCTCCCTGTTGTGATGATAAACTTTTCTTGCTCTCTGCCATCATTGTGACCTGGTAGTTCCATGACCCTTGTTGGCCTTACTCTGTTCAGCACCTCCAGTTGTCCTTATTTCAAAGATTTGTGTGGCAGACTGGTCATCTGATTCTGGGTGGCTTTTATAAGTGCCTTTTAGGTACATGGACACCTAATAGCTTACAGAACATTGCTACCTACTTGGATGGGATTAAGCAAGGCTCCTCTGTTCTTAAGCATGTTCATATTGTTCTCATCTCTGCAAAATGGAACAGCTTTCCTGTCCCATAACACTTTCAACTTGTCCCCAGAGTGACAGAAGTGCAGCGTTTGCACAGAACTGTACAACCTGCAGAACAAACTATGCTGTCTCTGAGTTGTCCCCCCCAGGTCCCTCTTCTTTCTCCTTCTCTGCTTGTTGTTTGCAGCGAGGAGTCACGCTGAGCCAGCACATCCAGTTCTCCTTTGGTCTGAGTTAGGGTGAGTATCTCATTTCCAGGCACAGTCAAATAAGATTTGTGACAGTCTGGCTTTTGCAATAGCACAGAAAATATTGATCAGGGCACCTCCGTCTGGTCTGCCCAGAGTTTTAAGAGCTGGGGAGGAGGATTTCTGTACCACTTCTGCTTCTACCGTCAGCAGTCTTGTGGCAGCACGGAGAAGAAAACGCGCATTGAAAGGGGATTCGTGGTTCAGAGCTCATTCAGCACTTTTCTGTTCATGAGAGAATTTGCCTCATTTCTGATCAGGGCACATGAGGCTGGTGTCAGTCACTGCGATTGCTCAGTGAGCAGCTGCAGAGCTGTGGCTTTAGTTTAGTCTATGACTACACAGAGTGAGGTGGCAGCACCTCGAGAAACTGTCTGGTATCAGGCTGACAGCGGCTGAAATTCATGGGAGAAGTCGGACAGAGCAAACATCACACACAGATGCTGTGTTCTGCACACATTGCAGTCGCTGGAAATAATCACAGATGGAACGTTGACAGCTGTGACAGTTAATGTTGCCTGTCATGTTGAAAACTGAAGGCTCAATCTGAGGATCCTTTGAAGTAGATGGAAGTTAATTTCAAGCTCTAGCCCAAAGCCTCTTTTTTTTTTTCCTTTTTTTCTTCTTGGAAGCTGTCTAAATGGCACCATTTCATTTAAGCCTCTTAATAAAGAAGCTTTCGTCTCCTTCCTGTCTCTCCCAAATCCTCTTTTTTTGTCATTAATGCTGTTTTCCTGCTCTTTGTCGCGGGTTTCTATTAAAATGGCATTACTTATTAAACTGCAGAGGGTGAATTATTTATGAAGCACCTGCAGGAATCACGCGGGTGTTCTCCAGGCTTCCTAAATACATTAGCAAAATAACACAGAACTGCAAGCTTATGCTGCCCCGTCTTCCTTACAACTCTGGCCTTACTTTGAGACCACATGTACGGGGACTTGAGTGTTTGCAGGACCACTGGTGGTCATGGGAAGCTTTTCCTTTGGTGGGCTTTGGTGGAAGCAAAGTCAAGGCTGGGGTCTCAGTGATGCTTTTCCAGTGTTTCTCCCTGTAGCCACAGTCATGTTCTGTTGCCAGATGCAGGAGAATAAGCCAGCCTGCTCATGACCGACGCAGACTGTTTTCCATTTATTGACCTTCCTGAAAGGCTTTTTTGAGAAAACCTAAGAAAGCTTTTCTGTAGACAAGAACAGTCTAGAGTGAGTTAGAACAGGGGAGTTACTTGTGCGAGAGGATCTGTGCCAGCCAACCCTTTCAACAAGAGGTTGCTCAATAAGCAGATGGAGATGGAGAACCAGGGATGCCTGTGCCACTGTTCTGCCTGAACAATTATGTGAGGCCAGCCCAATACTGTACGGAAACAAGCCTTGGGCAGGCATCCTGCGTGTTTGTGCCCATCATTTCCATCTCTTCCCACTTCCCCCAGGAATTTCATTAGCCAATCCCAACAAAATTTGGCAGCCAAGAGAGGAATTAGAGGTATTCCTTAGGGAACTGTAACAGAGAAATGCTTAGGCATGTAGGCTGCCAGGAAGAGGAGAAATCTATCAGCGCTCTCCTGAAGGGCAATCAGCAGCTCACTCTTTCTCAGACACGAGAGTAAATACCTGTACTTATCCTTGAGATGCAATTCTAGGAATATGGGCTTCATTGCTCTGGGACTGCCTTGGCAAGAGCGATCCTGCTGCAGTGCTAACAGCGAGGATGTAGCTAGTCCATTAACTCCTGTGTTCACTAATTGACAGACCACACAGAGATAATGCCTGTCATTACTTTTCCGCTTGGCAAAAAAATGCTTTACAAACAGTGCTTGGTGTCCCATGAAGTCTAAAATGAACTTTAGTAGCCACAGTGCTTTTCTATGAAAAAGAGGAAAGATAATTAGTGAGTTGTTTCCATTTTTTTCAGTGGTAACTATCTGAACAAAGAAGGCAACTGCTGGGTCTGGGATTATGTGCTGATGGAAGTTATATAGCATTAAAATAACAGGAAATTCAGCATTAAGGCTAAATAAGTTTTTGAAGGTACATAGCAAATGGTGGTCCTGTACCTGACTGGCATTCTTAGTGCCATTCTGAGGCAAATCTCAGTGCTGTACTGCATGGTGTTTATGATCTGAGTGAAAGCACGTGGAAGCTAATGAATCAAGCTGTCAAATCTTGCATTCTGCTGTGGGTCGGACCGCAGGATTGCACAGCAGTAAGGCAAGTCTCACAGTCACAACATCTGTGTTTCCCAAGCTGAAGATGATGACATTTCCACATGGCAGAAGTCACTGGTGCTGTGACTCGCCTTGCTTTGATGAGAGAGAGGTGCATGGAGCCTTCCAACGTGGTTCAGCTCTTACAGTGAATTCATTGGCAGCATCACCTTTAAGATCCCTCATGCTTCGGAGGGACTCATTTTCAGGAGAATTAAATCACTTTAATTTAATCACCTTTGGTCTTTCGCCCTTGTTCTCATCAAGATCTTTCAGGTGATTTTTACCCTGAAGGATCTCAGCCAAGCTTTTATGAAATACACAGTGGCAAAGAATTAGAAGGTCTTTGCTCTCTGCAGAAGAGCTCTTCTTTCCTTCGGTTTAGTTCCATTGCTTTAAAACCATTTGTCTGAATAATCTCAGATTAAGTTTAAAACCTCTCTAGCTTTAGTCTATGTGATAATGAAGGCACTTCTACCACTACAGGAGAGGCAGGGTTTGGCTTTAAATGGGGGAACATTGATCCATACAGTGCTTGCTGCTTTCATTTAGCAGAAGTGTTTCTTCATTTCCTGCTTTCCAGTCTCAGATCTCCACTCTTCTTTGCTACCAAAAACATTACTCATAACCAAAGCACCCCAGGTCTGATCTCACAGAAGACTGGAAGATCAGAGGGATCCCATCACACCTCTTTCCGTGTCGTGAATGGAAAACCTCTGCCTAGATGAACTTGTGCTGTTGAGATAATATGTCTGATGCACCTCTGAATGTACATGATAATAATTATCAGTGTGTTCTAACAATGCAAGGGATCAGAATTCCTAGCACGTGAAGATGGCACTCAGATGTGTTCTCCAGATTTCCTCCATGTCCTTGTTTCACCTTTTCTGCTGCTGCCTGCAGTCACGTTGGTTTCTGCACAGATGCCTGTGTTTGTTGGCTCTTTTTGAAAGAAGTCACAAATTCTGTTTCCTTTTTCTTTTTTTCTTTTTTTTTTAACAGGCTTTAAACAGTTATAATCAAGGAGACATAGAAGGATCAAGAAGACTGGGTCGCAATGCACTGTGGGTTGCAGTTGCATCAATTATCATTGGCCTTGTCATCATCGGAATCTACTGCGTAGTTCATTTCACAACGGTAAGCAAAATACTGCCAGTTCCAATGCAAACACTTCTTGTCTATGCAGAGCTTCAGAATAAGAAGCAAAGGCAGTCAAAACCACCTCTGTTACACATTTTCCAAAAGAGCAATTTTTACTTTATTTTGGAATTTAGAAAATGCTGTTTTCTGTCATTAAGAGCAAACGACTGTGAATATTCTGGAAACTCTTGCATTTCCCATAGGCTTTTTAATTATGGGGCAGTTGTTTGCTTTCTTTCTCACCCCTCACTGCAAGACCTAGTGCACAGAAACCCCTAGAGTTCAGGTAATTACATCCAAAGGTGTTAATTTTCAGTCTCACAATCTGTCCAACATTACTTTTTTTTTTTAACTATAAGGAGGAGAAAACAGTCAATTACTATTTTACCATTTGATGCTCAGGTGGTTGTAACTACATGTAAAGCTACTGCCCATGCAATGCTGCCTCGACCTGCTGCAAGGCACAGGTTGTTTGCCCACTGCAGCTGATCTGCCTTCACACAGCTGGAATGGTGGTGAAGAAATTGAGTCCCAGTGGCTAAGCAGACTGCAAGCTTATTAGCAAAGAAGAACAAAAGTAATTAGAGCTCAGACATCCTTTCTTAACTTTGTGCAACGCTGTGTTCTTTCCTCCTCCCAGTAATGTGCCCCCTCCAACAGAATAACCAATTTAAATCAATTTATTGTTGGCTGTTTCGGTTGGAGAACCTTTTTTTCCCTGGCTTTCCAGCTCACTGTACAAACTTCTGTGTAAACTAAAAATAGAGGTCACCTCAACTGACACACGGACATCTCGGAGGGCTGGAATGGAGCAGCTGGTCAAACGTGTGCCACGCTTCAGTGCGCCCTATGGAACTCAACAGTTAATGGAGCTGGGGGCCGTTGCTGTAGGATATTGGTGCCACCAAATCAGAAGTGACTTTCATTCATGATTATCCCTTGCATTTTGCAAACTCTTTTCGGTACAGCCTGCGTTGGGTTTGTTGAGCCCTCACAGATTTAAAACCAAGTCAGTTCAGGCTGGGAGTGCCAAGTTCTGTAATTGACAGCAGCAGGAAATTCCTCGGTTCCCTTCTGCCACCTTATCATTTCCCAAACACGGAGAGCACAAGGGGAGCAGCTCAGGCTTTTTTTCAAGTAGAGGGAGAGAAGGGCAGCATGAGGAGTGGCAAAAAACACTGAACTGAAGCATTCACATTAACTAGGGCTCAAATGTCTACATTCAGCTGCATTTAATATTTCACTTCCCCAACAGTGAGATCCTGTTTGCTGAACGTGAATGAGTCCTTGTGCCCACTGAAGAAGTTAGAAGTAGCGCTTGACATCTAACTAGTATTTGTAGGCAGCTCTATCCTACCCTCAAGGAATTATGCAGTGGTAAATCAGTATATTATGACTTTATTACTTATCTTCTTAAGTTTTGTCTTTTTAGGATTGTTTATTTTATTTTTAAGAGTGGCTGCATTGGGCAGAAGCATTTTTAGGTGCCTGGGAACCGTCAGCATACTGCTGGGATAGTAATTTCTTGTACTGAATGGTTTCCATAGAGGTGTCTTGGCCAAATGGTACTTCCAGTTTGTGAGGGCTGAAGCGACAGCTTTGGTGGATTCATCTTGCTCCCTGGTCTTCCTGTCCCTTTCCTACCTCCCTTCTCCCTGTAGCCCCTTGGAGATCCCTTGTTTCTAAGAAAGTATTTGATAGGGGTGACAATCTTTATTTTTCTAACATGGAAATGAGCCAATAGGGGCACTCAGCTGCCCTTTCCACCCTCTGTGCTTACCTGAGTCTCTTTGAGTTTGCCCATATGACTGGCATGGATGGCATCGTGTGCTCCACACTGTGGTCTCACATCCGTGTACTTTTGTCATCATTGCATGCAGCCACATAATCTCTGCTCACACAAAGTAAACCTAGTTGATTTAATAAACATGCTTTGACATTGGCAAACTGGTACAAAAAGGCCTTAATGGGATGAGTCAGCCCTGTCACTGATTTATTTGATTACCACGAGGCACAGTTTGATGTTTCTATGATACACATACGTATTTTACATGAAAGTTAATTTAGACTTCACCAGTATGTGTGACAAACTTGACCTTTCCAGGATTCATTCTCATGTATTTACCAACTACCATATTGCCCAGTTGCTCCCACTGATATTCATTTTGGCTTTTCTTAGCCTTAAAGGATACGAGTCCCACTGAAAATTGTCATTAAGATACCTCCCTTTTCTTCTTCTTGCACAACTCCATGCTTGCTGTTTGCCATCTCGTTTCCAAGTTGTGTTGGTACTTCATCTATTCTCACTCGTCTCCTTCAGTAGAATTCTTCACCTGCTCTGAGGGGCTGGCTGTTCATCCTGGAAAGGATTTTCCTTCTCCTGCCAGAACTCGCAGACTTCAGGCCTTCCCCATCGTGGGAATCTCTCAGTTCAGCTCTTTTTCAAGTGCAACATTTAGTTGTCCATCCTTTGCATGGTGGAGCTCAGGCTCTCCCCTCTACAAAGTCTCCATGAAGCCCCTGTTGGTCTTCACAGAAGAAAGCAGTGCTGTTGGTCAGTACACCCCAGTGCTTTGCAGTCCCATGGGCATTCACCTCAGTCAGAGTGCAGCTCCTGCAAGAGTGGCCACAATCACCCCAGTTCTGAAGAGGAGCACCAAGGATTCCCCACAGCTGTGACCTTGACAGCTGCATCTTCTGAAGCCTCGTCTGGGCCAATGCATCTGACGTGTCAGGGAGTTTTGGAGGCAGTGCCCTGCAGCTCATCACCACTGCAATTGCAGTCTCATGCCATCGTCTGTGCAAACTCTTACCTTGACCACCAAAGAACTTTTTTGCCACTCTTGAGCATCTCTCATTGAAACTGTTAGGAAGTGAGTGCTCAGATATCTTTCCAGATCTGGACATAAGTTCCTTCAGCATTCACTGGAAAGTAATTTGTTCACTGTGAATGGTATTTCTAGAAGACTAGTTTGGTAAGGTCACTGTCTAATGTGATGAAACTCGGTGTCCTCTGAATAACAGAACTTGTGCCCTATTAAAGAATCTAGACAAATTCACCCATTGTTTTCTGAGATCTCTTCTTGCTTTTTGGTACTCAAGCCTGTGGTGTGTTCCGTCCTGCTTTGGAAAGAGACTTCAGTCCTGTGCTTTAAGCAGAGCTGAGAAAGGTTCCCCTGGAACCCCACCAGCCCCAGCCAGGAGAAATCCCACTCAGTGGGTAGAAATGGTAGAAGCTGTGGAGAAAGAGTGCAAGAAATTCCCAGTTTGAATAAGCCTAGCAGTAATTACACTCCCACTAATGATTATACTTCCTTGTAGGACAGCAAGGTCAGACATACATGATCCTGCAGTTCATTTGGACTGTTCTAGCCAAATCTGTTGCTTATGAATTATGGAATGAATGGGAAGGGGCATGACAGAAGAAGTTTTGATGCTCATAATTCATCCCTGCGGTGGCTTGTGATTGCCAGTGACACTTGAATAGCTTGCTAAGGGGAGTGACCTGGAGTAAGCTGCCCACAGAGCTCTCTTTGCCCAGGATCTGGTGATGAGATCATGGACCTGCATCTGGTAACAAGTCACAGACCACAGGAACACTCAAAGGGCTGTTATGCATCCTACTGAAAAAAAGACCAGCAGGGGCTGATAGGCTCAGGAAGAGGAAGGTCCTTTCACTTTTCAGCAGGCTCCTACCTTGGAGCCTTAAGCTTCCTCACTTGCTTTCCTTGGTTTACTCATTTGCCAAACAAGGTAAAACAGGAATAACAGCAGGAGACACCTGTGCCTGCATGGAATCAACAGCACTGACTTTCCATTTTGCATATTTACTCAGTGCAAAGCCAACTCTGAGCTTGTGCTGCTGCCTTGGAGAGCCTCATTTGTCCTCAATATTGACATGTTATCTTTAACAAACATATACACACAGAGAGCCCGGAACAGGGCCCACCCACACTTAGGAATCATCTACTTTCTGCAGTCATAACCCTGAATGCAGACAAGGGGAAATCATCACTTTCATTGCTGGAACTGACTTGTCTGTTTTGATCAACGTAAACTGGGGTGTTCCTTGCTATGGAGTGCAGTCACCAAGTGATAAGCTGCACTGTGCACCCATTCCACTCCAGGCCCAATTTCTACTTACTCCCTTCTCTAACTTTTAACCTATCTCGTCAGCTTCTCCTGCACTCGTGTCCTGCCAGTCCATTGCACTGAATTACATTTCCACTGCTTGCTCAGATGTAACTTAAACCAGTATTTATGTCACCACTGAGTATAACTGTGCATATGTGCTCATAGGCATGTTGTCCATCAAGAACTGCAGTGAGAGAAGGGCTGTATTTGTCTGCTGTGAGGAGACATAACAGCAAACTGAAATTGGGCAGTGCTGTGTGCCACAGCCTGTGTGTGATGCCTGCAGTATGCCTGGCTAGAGAGTAAATTGAATTGAGAGATTAAATACTTACTGATGGGTGACACTCAGCTCTGAGCCACATCCTGAATTGTGCCTGTGCTTCTGAGGCCCTTTTCTCAAAAAAGATGTAGGAGACAAAAAAAAAAAAATAATAGAGAAGATCTGAAAGGTATGAAAAAAATCTCTGCATGTGGGAAGACAAAATGAACATGGACTCTTTGGCTTGGAAAATGTGGGAGTCAAAGGCAAGCAGTTGGAGGCAGCGAAAGAAGGTAGAGGGGGGTTATTTGATGTCTCTTATGAATGAGATCGAGAGATATCAGGGGAAAGCAGCTTTAAGCTAGAAGATACTTTTCATGTGACATACAGTGCTGCTGTGGAACTGATTCCTGCTGTTTGCAACAGACACCAAACATGCAAGTTATTTGAAACAGCAACAAGAGAAGTTAAGAAAGAAAGCTTAGATGCAAAGATGCAGATACAATCTCAGCCTCAGAGAATTTCTAAGCTACAGATTGCCTGAGCTGGAAGGCAATAAAGAGAGAAATATCCTCCAGGATTTGGGCTTTTCTTACACACTTCTAGGCGTCTGCAGCACGTCACTGTTAGGGGCAGGATGCTGTGGGTCTGCTCTCACCCAGTACCTCCGTTCTCCCATTCTTTCATGAAGCCTGTTAGTAGCCTTTCCACAGCAAAGCAAGGTTCATTGAAGCCTGCTTGTCTGACTGCAGGGACCGATCTGCTGATAGCAAAGCACAGGGCACAAACTTCAGCAAAGTAAGAGCCCGTTCCCTGCCACTGGAAGATCCCAGCATGCATTGAAAAATTCTGTTCAGACTGACAGATACCTGGTGCCATTAAAAACACTGCTTTGATTCAAAGCAGTATTGAACCACTAATCTAGAGGGATGTTTTTTAAGAGTACAAGTGATACTAAATAATGTATCCATTAGATCTGTAGAATTAATAATTTAAGCTCACAAGGCAAACTCTCTGTCTTTTCCCCCTTACAAAACGTATTTTTGTGTCCTTGCAGCATGCTATCTGAAGACCAGGACTGCACTTGGAATACATCACCATGTAAATCTCAGGAGAGGAAAAGTAAGAAGAAAAGGAAACCCATCTTCCCAGACTGTTAGATTTGACCCTACAAGTCTGCAGAGGCATGTCGCTGATGGACGCAATGATAGCCCAGTCAGTAAATCAGCATGGTGTGACCAGGTTTTCCAAACTATTTATTTATACAGAACCTCAGTATAAAGAAGTGTTGATGTTTGTTTTTTTTTTAATTTTACCCTAATTTAATTTTACCCTTACCTTGCCCTAACAGCTCCCTTTTCTTTCTCACTTACATGAAATGTGTGCTGGGTCCATGACGTTCCCTGGCTGAGCCAAGCCAAAGCCAACCTGTCTTGACTGTTTCTAGTGCACAGTGTAAGCTCTGATGCACAGCCTGCTGGAGCTGGTGGAACTCCTGTCACCTTCAGTGGGTTTTGGATCAGGCCATGAAGGGTTTTTGTATTCCTGTACAATAGTCTCAACATAACAAAATCAGAACAACGGGTTGGTGGTTTATCCCACGGTGTGATTTTGTAAGGCTGTGGGTGTACTCTGACTTGGTGGCTGCTTTCTCCTGTCACCCCCAGCCTTTATGTCTTTGCATTGGGTTTTTCACCACCTGGGACCGATTTCAATCCCTTCATTCTTAGAAGTTACTTTTGTTCCGTAACATCCGTATTTTTATTGATTTCCTCTTGTTTTGTTGTCCTTCCTTGCTGAACTCCCTTAACTCCGCTCCAGACCTGCACTAAAGTTGCACTGATCACATTTTCCTCTTTAAACTCCATGTATATAAGAAGTTTTTCTTTTTTTATCTCACAAAAGCTCTTTTTAAATAGATGTTCTCTCTCATCCCTCTGTTCCTATAGCAAGTCGCATTGTTTCATTGTGTTCTGCTTTGTTCCTGTCTTATTTTTAATTCACCCTCTCGTCTTGCTATGAATAGTCCATATATCAGCACGGAGATGGACAGACTTTTCTACACTCACTGATTCACGTAGACTTGCTGATCCTGAGTTTCCCCTCAGTGAACAGCCTTAGGCTGCACAATGGATGCCCTCTAAATTACTGCAGTTTCTCAATACCTTACGAAAATGTAGAGCGGGACAACTAGTTTTAATTAGCTGAAAACTGTTGGAAAGAATGTATTTCTTTTTATCACCCAAATATGACGTGTTCAGAGGAGCGAGCTGCGAGCGTTGGCACAGATGACAGCATCTTTGGTGACTGTGGCTCCATTTGCTTTGATTGTTCCTACACCTTCCAGCAAGCGATGCCAACTTACACTTACTCTCCTTGCAGTAACATAAATCTGGACTGAATACCCAGAAATGCATGGGAGTTGTACAGGTGCACGTGAGCAATGAATCATGCCTGGCAGTGGTACACCTATTATTCAAGAAAAAAAAGAAAAAAAAAAGAAAAAAAAAGTCTCCCAGCAATCTGTACTTGTTAAAGCATATGCCTGGAAGCAGCATGTATTTTCTGTGCCTTGGTATTGTGTTTTTAATGTGCTTTTTTTCACTTTTCTTTCTGCCAGCTTCTGTTTTTCATTGAAGTCAGTGATGCGCAGCCTGTCCTTAATTGCTCCAATACAAAACTTCACTCTTAATCAGTGGAATGAGTTGATTCCTTCAGCACTTACACTGATATAATTTGTACGTGGCAGAATGTGGCCACTGGTTGTGATGACCCCAAGAAGTGGCTGTTCTGTGAACTTCTCTTTGTTTTTCTGAATACTATTTCAGTGGTCTGATAACGTCTTGTGGGACTTTGAGTAGCTTGCCTTATTATCAGATATGATACAACTGTCATTGAGAAGTGGAATAAAATCACTTTTACTTCATCTCCATTCCGGTATGTGGGAAGTTTCTTTCCTGTTTTTTGTTTCAAACAGTGATTTCCCTTTCTCAAACTTATCGGGTGATTTCAGAGGTAAGTCACTGGAAGCAAACGTGGGATTTCTGCCCTGCTTTGTGCTGTTGAACCGATCTGCACTGCAGCTAAAACGTGCAGAAGTCGTTTGAGATGAGCTACCATTCAGCAGGTTGGGCTGTTGGCTTTGTTTTCGAGGCAGCATCCAGAGAAAGAGTGGTGGGGCAATATTCAGAAATATTCAGAATATTCAGAATCAGTGTTCTCAATGAGGCTTTCCTACCACGGCTGGGAAAGGCAGCCAGGTGAGCTCACTCCAACAGGTGACACAGGTCAGCACCCACTGCTTTGCATTGCACTCATCCAGGTGAACACCACTGCATCACTGCAGTAACACTTTGTGCACAGAATATTCCATCCCAGCACTGCCACTGAAACCAAAGCACGTGGAATGGGAGGAGAGAAAGAGTTTCCAAGTTCTCTGAGCATTAGAGGATACACAACTTGAAGTAGTTTCTCGGAGTGCCTAAGCAGAGTGTAGATCAATAGGAGCAAGTCACCTGGTTTGTTCGGATGCTTTTGAAAACCATAGTGGAAATCTAACTTGCATCTTGAGGCTCATAAATATCTCTGAAATCTCACTCATAGGATAAATGGGAATTGAGCCGTTGTAACTTTGGTGCTTCTGAAGATAAATGCTGCTACCTCACAGTGCTATTGATTGGTATAAAAATAAAAGCTTTACATTAAACCACTTGATGTGACAGATATGGGGAAATGCAGCAATTCCTCTAATGTCCTTTAGTGCTTCTGTGTCATAGGTAATCTTATTTTTGCTTTACTGATATATTGATATCATTTCTCTTCATTTATTTATGCTTGCATATGCTTCCAACCATGCTTGAGAAATGCAGTTGAACACAAATCCTTCTCCTCCCCTCTTGTGCTGGAAATGAATGCACTCCTTGTCCAACCAAATCATGCTGTTGTGGGTTTGATGGACCCAGACAAAGTGAGGTAATCAGCATCTTAATCCAGTTTGAAGAAGAGGAAATAACATCTCACTACATGAGCCTCAAGACCTTGGGTGCCAGCAGTAGCTGTGCAAGGCAAGATGCTGTTGTCTGACTGAGAAATTAATGTCTTCTTTTGAGAGCCACGCAAACAAATTTCAGTACCTACGACAGGCACGGGAGATTACATGTCCTTCATCACCATCTGTCTGGATTTGGATTTGACCCGTTATTACTATGCATTGCAGCTGCCAAGGCAGATGGAGAAAACAAGAGTTGTCTTGAGCATGTTGTGATTTTTGCTATTTTGTGAAATAGAGGGGGGGGGGGGGGGGGAAAGCAGTAAGATGTATTTCAATTCAACATCTGTGCCCTGGTCAGGAGAATAGTCTTCCTTTCACACAGCTGCTCCAGGCTTCCAGTTTTTTCTGCAGTCTTCCTGCATGCTGAAGGCACCACTTATTGCCCAGAGTCCAACTCTCTTTTCCTTCCTGCATGTATTACAGGCAGAGACAGATGGAAACTTGAAATTGCTGGCCTCAGCTCCTGGATCAGATTAGCATCTTTTGCTTCTTCCAGGGCGGCTGCATTCTGCAAAACAGCAGCGTGCCTGTATCTTGATACGTAACCTTAGAGCATGGCTTCTAAATATACGAGGAGTTTCTTTGCTGCTGTCTGAAGGGGGTCAGCCAGACACTCAGACAGCACGGGGTGTGCATTTCATCACATTGCACAGCAAAGAAAACATCAAGAGGACAACGTGGAATTCTTCAGGTGCCTCCCTGCAAGCACGTCTTGAACATCAGCGCTGGTTCCTCAGTTTGTGTGGCTGCAACCACAGTCTGTGAGCACTGTGGCTCATGGCTCCAGGATCTGTTGCTTTTGTGCCTGTATCTATGGGTACACAGTATGAGCTGTGCTTTGCCTCTTGGCCCTCATCATCTCAAAATGAGGCTGGATACATCTGCACACATCTCCCACTAGGCTCTTTTCCTTACCTGGACGCTGGCCTTGCCAGTACTGAAGATGGATTTTGTTCCTAATTTGCATCAGTAGGGAAGAGATTGTGCCACCCTCTGAGTTAGCCTTTATTTTGTATGTGCTGTGTGTGCATACATGCACAAGAGAATGCATTTGAAATACCGGATTCCCCAAAACAAGTGAGATTTAAATGAAAGGAATTGACATGGGACTAAGTTGGTAAGCCACATCCTGCTGTGTGCAGGACAGTCCGCATGCCTGCAGCTCTTCCAAGAATCATAGGCAGTGCACAGGCAGGTCACTGAAGGTGTGCAGTGCTGTGTTGGAGGAGAGATGCTGAGCAGGGATGCGGTGCTCTGCCCACAAGTGGTTTTTATGCTCACTCACCATTTTCCACCTCCCAAACACGACGGCATGTTCTGCATGTTGTTCTGCATGCACCACGGCGGCACACCTGCCTTGAAATGTGAGTGAGCCTTTAAGGAGGCGGCCCAACTTGACTTCCTCTGCAGCCCGGCCAAATGGGCTATATTCAGAAGTGACCTAAATGGAGAAGGGTGGTATGAGAGGGAACGCTCAAGCAATAGAAAGCTGGAGGAACAAACACAGCAGGCCAAGGTAGAACGGAAGGTTATAGAAATTTACTGGGGAGGTTTCTGCGGTTTCTTTTTTCCTGTCTTGGGCTCTAGGATAAATTCTGCTGCTGCTGCCAGCTGACTCACTTGTTCTCTGTGGCACAGAGGCTACAAGGAGCACTTGCTCATATATCCTTTATAATGTGATCTGTGTCATGTCTGAATTTGATCTGCTAGCTCATGACTGAGGATGGCTCCTCTGTTTCTATGTATCTATCTGCAGGGCTGAGTCAGCTTCCACTTAGCTTGTAGCTACTTCTCTGGCTAAATAAGCTTGTGCTGTCAGTACCAACGGATACATCAGGATTTTAAAACACACAGTCCAAGATATTTGGCCACTACATTTGATTTTTCAACACATTTCAGGCAAGAGAAGGGGAAGCTCCAATGAAATGAAGGGATGCACACCAGAGCAGGTGATGAAACATGGCAGCCGCATCTACATGCATCTCAACCAGAGTTCAGCCACTTTGGATTTTAACCAACTCCAGGAGATCATCCAAACAAGTCAAGTGGGACTTCGACCTACAGCACTGATGGTTGTAACATCCCTTCCTTGTGTTAGCTGATGAAGAAGGATGGGAAGTGGTAGCTCTAGAGCGTAGGGCTGACTGAATGGTAAAGATGTCAACTCCTCAGCATTCACTTGACTCCATTTAAACTGTAGTTGCAATTTATCATGCAATTTACGTGATACTTTCTGTGGAGATGTGGGTAGTTAACCCTAGCTGTGTCCTGAACAAGATATTGTTGAGTGCTGCCTTTGTATTTAACTAAAAGGTTTTGCAATAGTCACACAACACAGCATCATTTCCCTCTGGCTGACGACTGGGGAAGTCATGCTTTTAAAGGCAAGATGGGGATTTCTGGCTCATCATTTTGTCTAATTCTTCTTGGTGAAAACATTTAAAGTCACTATTCATGGGCATCCCCTGGAGTTGTAGAGCAGAGTACACAGCTGAACACCTGATGAGAAATTGATATTGTGATTGATAAATGATATTACCTATGCAAGGAGTGCTGATTAAAGGCTAAGTGGCCTGTTGCTGCGTCCCTTGTCTCATAAACATGGCAAAACTGAAGCTTGTCATCTGTCAACAGCAGACGGTTCCAATGGCAACTGATTCCTCTGGTATTCTCACTAACCAGGAACCTCATTTGTGGTGAAGAAATATGGAAGACTGGGTGGAAGAACGCTGTTATGTCCTCCTGTAGCAATAAGAGCAGGAAGGTTAAGAAAGGTGAAGGAAAGGGAGTTTGTAGTCCTCCTTTAGAATGTGGAGACAGGCCCTGGGTGAGGCAGGGGGAGTTTTGTATGCCCTTCAGATTGCAGAGCATGGAAGGAGGCAAAAAAACATCACAGATTTGCCTCCCATGAAAGGGAGGAGCAAAACTGCAGTGCTCCGGAGATTGAGCGGGCGGATGAGCTCTGCCAGGCCATCGTGGCATGTCTGCAGCTGAGCTCTCACTTCCCACATCTCCTTTAGGAACAGCTGTGAGTGAGCTGGGCTCTCCTTCAGGCTGACAGGAGAAAATGATACTGCAGTGCATGTGATGACCATGCATGCGTCCACTGCTTCCATCCCATCCAAGGCAAGGAGCTCCCAAAGGCTTTGGAGCGACGCTGCGTGGGGAGCAACCATTCTATCTTAATACCAAGGCTTTAAATCAAGACAAGCTTGGACTTTCCTTACCAACAGCCTTGTGGGCTATCAGCAGGCTTTATTCTGGAGTCTGTTACCAGTCTGTGGTTTTTTGTATATAACAAAACCATTGTAAAGCAGAGATGAGCCCTAAAGTGGAGATGCTGCTGCTTGCAGTGCATCTGGCTCTGCAGGCTGTCACAGTGGCTCAAAACGCAGCGCTGTGAACCTCCAACCTGCCCTGCGTGCACATTGGTGTCAGGGGAAACCAAACCATCGGGTCTGCAGGCAGAGTGCTAACCTGTGTTAAGTATCAAAACAACAACAGCTGCATTTTGTAGCAGTGTGAGAGCTCTGCGGGAGCTGGGGATGGGCTCACAAGCCCTGCGATGGGTGCTCCCATGCTCAGGCATTCTGCCCACGGAAGACAAATTAGCAGCAGCTGTTCCTGCAGGGGGGCGGCAGGAGCCAGCCACGCTCCCAGGGCTGGGCACGGGGAATCTGTCGAGCCCAGCAGAATTCTTCCTGCTCGTCACAACGTGCCACAGGGATCCGACAGAGCAAAAAAAAACCCCTTCCGTCCGTTTGGTCCGAGAATAAAAAGCAGTTCTCTTGCAAAGGGAAACGCGGCCCAAAGCGCAGCCTGCATCAGAGAAAGGAGAAAGCAGCGGACTCAGAGCTCGGGGGACGTGAGACAGA